TGGAATGGTCTGCACTGGGACCAACACCATTACAAAAAACTTCAAAGGGAAAAAACTTTCAGTGCATTATGTTCAGACTTGGTGTGTCATCTATAAATAATAAGAGCTATGAATGATGCCAATTCACCTAAGAACCCAAGTCTCAAAATTCACCCCTTAGTCAAATGAAATGTACAGCAACCTGATTCAACTGAGAAATTCAAACAGAATACTAAATGATTCCATGAAAGTTAATATGTAACTTTTCTACTGTGCTGAGAGGCATATAAATGATAGAATCTAGGAGACTATTCTGACTTTCAAGTAATAACCTTTGCTAGTGAAATTGCTCCATTTTCATGCACATATCTTACAGAGCTTTGTTACTTTGTGTCATTGTAAATGTTGGTATGATGCTGAGGCACTGGAAAAAAGTCTTCTAAAAATCTTAACGACAAAAACGAATCTAGCAAACAAGTATAATAATAAGAGACAAGTCTGAATTACAAAGGTTGGATCTGAATTTGGTCTCCTTCCTGGGGTTAACATTCATAATTTATCTCCAGACCATCTCTAATATTGAAAAAGAACTATTTATTGAATTGCCTATGATTTTAAACATGATTTGGTTTGCTGGGGGCACAGACCTCTGTCTTTCCCATCTTGATTTTGTTAAGGGATCAGATGTGCTGTTAAAGATTGCTTTATATAATTTCAGGCATGCTTTTTTTCTTAGCAGTGGGACAGTGGCAAAATAATACAATATTTTAATTTGTTGAGCAGAGGCAGATTTACAATGAAACATAAGGTGCCCTGGTACGGCCTCCCCCAATAACATGAGGCCCCCAGAGCTGGGCAGTTCAGCACCAGATCCAGCACCCCCGTCCCTGCACAGGGGGCGGCAGTCCCTCTGCAGAGTGGGCTGTGGGAAAGGGCAGGAGAGCAGGGAGGCTCATCCGCAGGCTGCAGCATCGGGAGAGCCAGGAGGAGGTGGTGAATAGTGTGAACATGGGCTGGAAGGCTTCAGAAGAACACGAGGCAGGGAAGGCAGCCGGGGAATGGTGAGCCCACAAGCTGCACAGCCAGTAGGAAAAAGCCGCACTTTGAAGGGGGAAAAAGACATAAGGCATAGTTAGATCCCCTTTGCACCACCTCCCTGATGGATAGTTGCATTAGGGAGCACTATCTTCTCTTTGATACTCTCATGCACTATAGAAGACTGACTTACACAATCTCCCCAGTTACTAGTATTTTATCCCTGATATCTCTATGAAAATCTCCTTCTACAGCCTTCTTGTCCTCATCCTGTATCTCTACTTCAGACCTGTTCCTCAGATAAGGTAATCCCTAAACCAGATGAGCTTTTTCCTTGAAGGCCACTGCATGTCCAGCACCTAGCAAGAATGACCTTAGTCTAAAAGAGCAATTTAGCACAGATAGCAAGCAATGTACTATTTGCCTGGGAAGAAATCTAGGTCAGACAACCAAGCTTTTAATTTAGTTACGTTTAAACAGCTTCTGTTTTGGAGATGATCATTTATGTTATCTTTGTGCTATGCTTCATCACTTGTCTCAATAAATGGAAGAAATGACAAGAAATGAAAGTTGTTGAAAAATAAATCTGTTTCTGTGTTTCCTTCTGAGATTCTCTCACATTGTGTCAGCATGTTTGAGCGCTACAAGCATACACTGCTGTTATCATGTATATTGGATGAGTCTTATAATGCTGTTGCCATTACACCTGAAGCAATATTTGTTAAAATCAATATATTTTTATGCACTGTATCACTCTCTAAAGCACCTGTAAGAGGAAAAGTGCAATTACACAAAGCTACCTTTATGCCTTTGATTGCTATGGAAGAGGAGAAAAGTCAGATGAGTCGCTGGTAGTATGATACAAGCTTTTAGGAGGTTTTCAGAAAAGTATGTACTGTCAGAGCTACAATACAGCTCTTTGGTAAGCGATTGGTATGGATGGAAAATCATTACTAGAAAAGCTGCAACAAGGTAAAAGGAACCGAATCACATTTTAAATTAATGATATCAATAGTATGAAGTTATTTTGAGAAAAATTCTATGGATGAAGAAGGCTATGTACAACAGCTTGTAAAAGTTGATCAATCGTGTGGCAAAGAGTCATTGAAGGTATGAACAGCAACTATTTAGGCATTTTCAATCTCACGTATCACATGCAGGTTAAAAGAGCTAGGGCTGGTGAAACATACGGTGCCCTGGTACGGGCTCCCCCCAGTAACATGGGGCCCCCAGGGCTGGGCAGTTCAGCACCAGGTCCAGTCCCCCCCCCCCTGCGCAGGGGACAAGAATGCACTATCGTTTCTCTTTATTATCTTGAAGAAAGGAAAAGCATCTTGTGTCTCAGTACATTTTCTGCTGTTTGTCCAAAATATTGTGGTTTATGTCAATTACTATGAACAAAATAATGACCTGCTCACAGGGGGGCCTAACTTGTAAAAAAACCCATAAAAGTCTTGCCAGATTTTGAAAGTAGGTCCAAGTATGATGCCATCTTCAGTCTTTGGTGTACTATGGCACATGAGATTTTCATCCCACTTCATGTGGGATACATGGAGCTAGTTCACATATTTAAATTGGTTGGCTTGTTCTTGTCTTATATGAGGGTACGTCTACGCTAGAGCATTATTTCGAAATATCTAATTTTGAAATAGTTAATTTGAAATAAGATATTTCAAAATAACGCGTCTACACACAAAATGCATTTCGAAATAGAGTTTTGCTATTTCTAAATAGTGCGTCCAGACTGATTGGACGCTGAATCGCATTTAAGTCCAGCTGAAAACACTTCTAGCAGAGCATCAGATCAGGAGTTACTTTGTGTGGCTGCTGCCTGAGGCTATCTGAGGCCTGTGCTTAAATGGACCCCCCTGGACAGCCAGTTCTCAGGTTTCCCTGCTTGCTTGCCTACATCGCTGAGGGACAGCAAAGCATTTTTTTCTCTCTGTGCTCTGGTTGCCCTCACTCGGGACACCACAGCACTCTCCAGCATGGAGCCAGAGCTGCCCCTGGGCACTCTCGTGCTTCTTTTGGATGTGTTGCTACGAGCCTGGCAGCAGTTTCTGCAGGCTGCTTTACAGCATCTGCTGTAGCCCAACTCCCAGGCCATCATCCAGAACCTCCGGGGGTACATGGAGGAGCAGCTGCAGCTCCTGGATGCCAGCACGCCCCACTGCAGCTGGTGTCTGGACACCAGCAGTGACTGGAGGAACCACATCATCCTGGAGTGCTGGGGAGACCAACAATGGACCCAGATCTTTAGGATGAAGAAGGACACCTTCATGGAGCTCTGTGAGTGGCTCGCCCCTGCTCTGCAGAGACGGGACATGCACATGAGGCCCACCGTTCCCTTCCAGCAGTGTGTGGCCATCACCCTCTGGAAGCTTTCCATGGTGGATAGCTACCGATCCATGGGGTGTGAGGAGACCCACCATCAGAGCGGTGCTCATGCAGGTATGGCAGTCTCTGGCCACTGTGTCAGGAGGCAGCATGCAAGGACGAGATGGGCTGCCCTAGGGAATGGGGGAGGTGTGAAAGTTCCATCCCTGGGAGGGTTTGTTCTGTCCTGCCCACAGTAAGGACAGCCCTGGGTGGCCAGGATTGCAGGGGGGGGGGGGGGGG